TCTTTAAAGATTTCTTGAAAGATACAGAAATTTGCATCACTTTCATCTTGGAAAATAGTTTTTATTGTTGGACTGAGATATGAGGGCTATAACCATTGTTATTTTCTCTGACCTCTGTATCCTAAGAAAATACTGTATTGGTTTATGAAACAAAGTTACAAAAAAAAAACAAACCATTTAAAAAATGAAGTTTCTAGTTGTCTGTTGAAGAAAATGACCTTGAACTCTGTTGTGACCATTCATTTCTAGTATTTCTCATGTCTTGTCTTTATATCATACCATCTGGTTCTTTATTCAGATGCTCCTTCTGCAATGGTTACTACTTTGTCTTGCTCCTTTCCTTTTTTTTTTCTTTTTCTGGCAAAGTCTTACTGTGAAGTTCAAGCTCACCTTGAACTCACTGTGTAGCCCAGACTGGCTTCAAACTTGCAGTGATCTTCCTGCCTCAGCTTCCTGAGTGTTGGTACTATAGGTGTTCACCTGTACTTCCAGCTTCTTGATTTTTCTCCCACAGCTTGTCGGTAATGTCTTCTCATTCTAGGAAATGTTCATTGTCTCTTTCCTCACCATTACATCTCCATTACCCTTGTTCTGTGTTTCCTCACCTAGCAAGTATACTACTATGGTTGGTATCTACAGCCAGTTTAGCTAGGTACTCAATCTAATTTTGAATATAGAGTATCTGTATGGTTTGGAACAGATGTGCTTATTTAAAATTTAAAACTTGGAGGAAAATAATTTTTTTTTCCTTATTAGGGGTTATCCCTGGTGCCCTCCCCCCAATGTTTATATATACATAATCTTATGGGTTAATGAATACAAAAATCCACTAAGATTTATCAATAAAGTTTCAAGAATGAAAGAGAAGTAATGACTTGGATACTTTTATCAGTAACTGCGAGACTGGTCATTTTTATTTCTCAGGAATAGTCTTCAGTACTCTTTGTAGGGTTTGTTTGGTGGTCATGAATTCCTTCAGTTATTCTTTATCATGGAAGTATCTTATTTCTCCATTAATTTTGAAAGATAGTTTTGCAGAGTACATCAGTCTGGATTGAAAGTTATTTCTTTCAGGACTTGAAATACTTTACTCCAAGCTCTTCTTGACGTAATGATTTGTATTGAGAAATCTGTCATGATTCTAATGAGTTTTTCTTTATGGTGATCTGTTTCTTTTCTCTGACAGCATTTAATATTCTGTTCTTGTGCTGAATTTCTGGAATCTTGATTAATGTATGTCTGGGTATAGATATATTTCGGTTATGGCTACTTGGAGTGCTATATACCTCACTTATCTGCATGTCAGATCCTTTTCCCATCCTTGGGAAGTTCTCTGCTATTACTTCTGTAAATAATCTCTTTATGTCATTTGTGTTGGCTCTTGCTTTTTCACTGACACCTATCATTCTTAAATTATTTTTCTTTGTGTCATCCTGCAGCTGTTGAATTGCTATTTCCTGGGCCCTTGTTATTTTTAAGAGATCTTTCATGATTGCTAGCTGCCATCCTGCCTTCAAGGTCTGAAAGTCCATCTTCAAGTGATTTTGCCAGCTTTCAATATAGTTTAATTTCCTGCATCTCTGTTTGAGTCTGTTTCATGCATTCCAATTCTCTATGTTATTCATTCAAGTTTTCCCTCATTCTCCTATGCTTCTCTCTCTCTCTCTCTCTCTCTCTCTCTCTCTCTCTAACCTGTGTCGTCTTTTTTTTTTGGTCTTTTTCGGAACCAGGGATCGAACTCACAATTGCCTGCTTACAAGGCAGGCACTTATGCCACTGAGCTAAATCCCCAGCCACCTGTGTCTTCTTTAGAAACACTCAGCAACTCTTTTATTATGTTTGTCATTTCTTCTTCTTTTTTTTTTTTTTTTTTTTTTGATATTGGGAATCAAACTCACAACCTAGCACTTGCCAGATAGGCACTTAAGTCGCTGAGCCAAATCCCCAGCCCCAGTCATTTCTTCTTTTACCTGAGATATTTCTGATCTGATTTCTTTTACAGCCTCATGAAGTAGTTTTTTTACTTCAGTTGCCATTATCTCAGAAATTTCAGGTGTGCGACTTCTGCTTTTTCCCATGTCCATGTCTCTTGGACTTGTTCTGTTTGGATTAGAGGCCAGAGATTGCCTTTCGCTCCTTCACCTTGACATTTTCCTGAGTTCCTCTGGACGAGTGGGTTGGGGGTGTCCCACAGCCTAGGCAATTTAGTGAAACCCTCTGTCAAAATAGAAAATCAGCTGGGGAAGTAGCTTAATGCAAAGGCCCTGGGTCTAGTCCCTACTACTTCAAAAAACACAGCAACAACAAAGGCAAACCTTTGATTTTTTATTTTTTTTGCTTTTGAAACAGGATCTCATGATGTAGTTCAGGCTAGCCTTGAACTCAAGGTGATCCTCCTGCCTCTACCTTACAAGTGCTGGGATTATAGGTGTGCACCACCGTGTCTGACAAACCTTTGTTTTTTTTTTTTTTGGTATTGGGAATCAAACTTGGGGCCTCGCACTTGGCACGCAGGCATTGTGCTGCTGAGCTACGTCCCCAGTCCTATTTTCTCAAGTCTTAATAGCAGTCCTAAGAGGCAAATATGACTTTCCATGTATTTTTATAGACACAGTGTCTTAGAGATGTTAAATGATTTGTTCAAGTTTCTACTCTTAATACTTCATAGACTCAGAAGTTAAATCTGGGATTTACTACATCTCTGCTGCACTTTTGGTTACCTGATGTAGACTTCTTATCTTTTCCTTTTTTTCTCTTAACACTTGTAGAGAATAATAGTATCTCAGGCTACATGATTATTTGGGTACATGATAGTTCATCCAAAATGTTATTCTTTGTCATTTGGGGTTCTGCTCTTAGAAGTTCCAGATTTCCCTATCAGTGTAATAGGATCTTTCCTTTTCTTTTCTGCTCTAGACCAGTGATTCTGTAGCCCAGATTGGTATCAGTACATTAGACAGTGGAATTTAAGATTCATATCTGTGGGCCGCTTTTCGACAGTTCCGATTCTGTAGATCTAGGATAGAATTTACTTATTTTTACTTTTTGATTTTTTGAGACAGGATCTCATTGAGTTCAGGCTGGCCTTGAATTCACTACATAGTGTAGGCTGGCCTTGAACTTGGAAGTGATCCTCCTAACTGAGCTTCCTGATTGCTGGGGTAACAGTCTTGCACTACCATGGCCAGCTGATCTGGGATAGAATTTAGATGTGTAGTTTTGAAAAGCTCCCAGGTTATTGTTTTTGTGTGTGTGTGTGTGTTTTTTTTTTTTTGGTGATTCTTACACATAATTATTGGTTTAGAACAAACTTCAGTATTTGGGGACTATAAATTTCTTGTTCTTTAGAGTTTAGGGCCAGGCATGGTGGTACACATGTGTAATCCCAGCACTTGAGAGGATGAGGCAGGAGGATCACTGCAAGTGCAAGGCTAATCTGAACTACATAGTGAACTCAAAACCAGCCTGAAATACAAAGTGTGACTTTGTCTCAAAAATAAACAAACAGGCTGCAGTTGCCCCAGAGGGAGAACCACCAGCATCTCCTGGGATCTGTGCCATGTTGGAAGTTAGGATGCTGGGAAACCAAGCAAGCAGCTCGCCCCCCTGGTAAGTGGCTGTAGTGTGGCAGGCTGCGGCCACCCCAGGGGGAGAACCACCAGCATCTCCTGAGATCTGTGCCGTGTTGGAACTTAGGACACTGGGAAACCAAGCAAGCAGCTTGCCTCCCTGGTAAGCAGCTGTGGTATAGCAGGCTGCAGCTGCCCAAGAGGAGAACCACCAGCAACTCCTGAGATCTGTGCCTTGTTGGAACTTAGAATGCTGGGAAACCAGCAAGCAAGCTCGCCTCCTTAGTAAGCGGCTGTGGTGTGGCAGGCTGCAGCCGCCCCAGGGGGAGAACCACCAGTGACTCCTGAGATCCACACCATGTTGGAAGTTAGGATGCTGGGAAACAAAGCAAGCAGTTCCCCTTCTTGGTAAGTGGCTGTGGTGTGGCAGGCTGCAACCGCCCCAGGGGGAGAACCACCAGTGACTCACTCCTGAGATCCACACCATGTTGGAACTTAGGGCGCTGGGAAACCAAGCACCAGCCTGCCTCCCTGTGAAGCAATAGTGAGCCTACTGGTGCATGGGCTCAGAGTCAAACATTCCACTTCTCTGCCCCCTTTAGCAAATGGGAACCAGAGATATAGCATCTCTTGGGAGGCTGACCATATACAATATAGCAAATAAGGGGATTTCCTTCTATCATCTTTTTGAAGACACATATTTTTACTACTGTTTTGCTTTATTCTGATAATGGTACTGTTCTATTCAATATACTGTTTTTGATAAGTTCTATAATGTTCTTCATTTTATTTTGCTATACATAATTGAAAGAACAACTACTATTGTGAAGATAATGAGATATACTGTGATACCTATTACTGTTAGCCCGATAACCTGCTGTGAAGTTCTGTACCAATTTCACTACACTGTCTCAATTGGCTTTGTTCTGTTGTATTTTACTACCTTCAAAATAATAAATAAAAAAAAAAATAAAGCACAAAAAATCTCAAAGATTTCAGGGATTTCGTATAATGGGAAGGAGTGTCAATGTAACTAACCACTCAGAGGGTAATCAGAACCTAACTCAGCTTTAGAGAATGTAGTGATGCCCTTCCCCGACTGCCTCATTTTTAATGAAGTACTGGAAATGTTAAAGGTTGGAATGTATTCATTGAGTATAGAGTTTTCCTGGAAAAATTACTTTATAGAACCGTAAGCTTGAGCTGTTATTTAATACTGTCGTAAAGTCTTTGAATATATGTTTTTGTATGTAGAATTCAACAAATATTGGTAGTAAACTACTTGAACTTTATGCTTCAAATTAAATATAATAGATTAAGAAAAGATACTTTGAATTTGTTAATTTTTTTGAATATTGTCAATTTTGTATTGTGGTTAACAAAACAGGAATTGATCTTTAAAAATGTTTAAATTTCTCTTTTTCTCTTCAGTTCTTTTTGGAGACGGATATCTGCCCAGACAGTAAGAATTACGAGAGGTCAGTTACATACAAATAACATTCTTTTGTATTTTATGTGCTAAAATACTAAACTGTGGGGTTTTATGTTAAAAGTTACATTCTGCAAAGAATACAGACAGACCTAGGGAGAACAATGTAAAATGAACAAGGAACCTGACAATGGTACTGTTCCAGTACCATGTAATTCAGAACTAGAATCAGTGTAATTGGGGCAGGCTGTGGAGTATCTTCTAGAGTGTCTAGATGGCTACTCAGTGATTTTCCATACATGACCTCTCTTTTCTGGTAGTTCACATGCTTGTTCTGGGGAATGCTGTTCTGTACAGATGCTGGTTGCTGGACAGGTTCTTTTGCTCTTAAAACTGATCTGTTTCTAATCTATGCAATCATTAGAGGAAGCTGCCTTTATCATTTGTTTTTTAACTAGGAAAAGAAAACTTGAAGCTGGTCTCCTTGTACTTTTTATTTATTAGCCTTTTCTTTTTGTTCTGTCAAGGAGTCATTTTTCATGGATTTTATCTTTTTATGTATGTGGTTGTTGAATTTGAATCAGACTGTAAACTAGAGTGTACGCTTAATGCCTTATTATTTCTCCTGTGAAAAAGGCAGCTATTATTTTCTGTTAGTTGGGACACAATTTTAGGGCTTTTTTTGGGGCCAGGGAGTTGGTACCAGGAATTGAACTCATGACCTCATACTTGCCAGGCAGGCATTTTTGCTGCTGAGCTAAATCCCCAGCCCAGAATTTTAGTTTTTTAATCTACTGTTATTTATTTGTTTTTATTGAAAGTGGGTCTCACTCTGTAGTTCAGGCTTTTTTGAACTTACTATATAGCCCAGGCTGTTCTAGAACTCACAGCAATCCTCCTGCCTCAGCTTGCTTTGAATGCTGGGATCATAGGCTTGTGGCTACACCATTACTTTTAAGCCTTCCTAAAATGTGAAATAGGCTTATTGCTATTGTATTGTTTGATGTTCTTCAGAGTGATCAGTGTGTTGGAATTGTCTTTCTCCCTCCTTTCTACCTCTCTTTTCTTTCTTTCTTCCTTTCCTTCTTTCTTGTACCAGGTTTGAACTCACAACCTCCCACTTGGTAGGCAGGCGCTTATGCCACTGAGCCAGACCTCCAGATCCTCTACCCTCTTTATAAAGTTCCTTTTTGGCTTCTCCCCTACCTTGAGCTTTTTAAATGATGTAGTTTTCTTGTAAGCTTCTAGAGTGAACTTCTTCATACAAATTGGAGAAATTGTGAAGAAATCAAGTTGAGGATAAAACTCAGTGGTAGAGTTTTGCCTAGCACACAAGGCCTGGGATCTATGTGTAGTACTACAGGAAAAGAAAAGAAAAGAAAAATCTAATGTTGTGTAGTAAATTTAAACATTAAAACTTTTCTGTTTTAGGATTCTTTTTTGTTGTTGTTGCTGTTTGTTTTGGGTACTGGGGATTTGACCTAGGGCCTTGTGCATAGTAGCTAAGTATTCTTGTTATATCATAAACCAAGGTATGACAACAGAGCCTGTAACGCCACCACTGTGTGAGACTGACAGAGGAGAACTGCAAGTTCACAACCCACCTTGGCAACTTAGTGAGGTCCTATCTCAAAGTAAAAGTCAAAAGGGCTGGGAATATAGTTGAGTCCAAAGGGTTAGCAGGTTCAGTTTGCAATAACACACCCAGAAAAGGGAAAAATCACTAAGAAGTAGAAGTTAGTTGAAATAATATCCAACTCACTTTTGAGAAATGTTCATAGTTTGCTTTTGCCTTTTTCTTTTACATTTCTAGCAATTTGTTTTATTGTTTCATTCTTGTAGCACAGTGATTCTCAAACTTTAGGGCTTGTAAAAACACAGATTATTGGAGCCCCAACCTGTAGATTTTGATAGTTAGTTGATGTATGTCAGTGTATTGGTACTTCTAATAAGCTCCTAGGTGATGGTGGCGCCAATGCTGCTGCTGACCCAGGAACCACTTGGTCCAGTGTTTACTGGTGCTGTATTTCTGTAAATAAACAAGCTCTGATTTATAAAGTATTCCAAAATACTTCTGCATTTGTAATGTTAACATGTTTAGTGATGATTCATAAACACTTAAAAATATTGGTTTTCTTGTCTGTGATGGAACACTGCTTGTGTGTGTGTGTGTGTGTGTGTGTGTGTGTGTGTGCGCTAGCAGAGTTTGCTAGAGATTGAACCCAGGACCTTACACACTAGATGAGTGCTCTACTAACCAAGCCACACCACCAGCCCTCCTTCTACCTGCCTTTATACCTCAAAGTGATTCATAAAATATTTTAATGCATTTATTTATTTATTGTTTTGTCTTTTTCGTTTGGTACTATAGATCGAACTCATGATCGCATACTTGCAAGGCAGGCATTTATGCCGTTGAGCTAAATCCCCAGCCCCAATACATTTATTATTACCCAGTGTCTTACAGTACCTCAGAGTTAGAATTGGGAATCAGTATTTTCTGAATTAAAATGATTGGTCAAGCTATAAGTTAATGCTGTCTTTATGTGTAGGTTTTTTAAAACTTTGAGACAGGTTCTTGATAAATTGCTCAGGCCAAGGCTCCAGTTTATTCTTCTTCTATCTCAGCCTACTGGAGTGCTGGGAATAGAAGTGTGTACTACCATGTAGGTATTTTTAAATTTTTAAATAGGATTTTTGAGGGGGCAGAATAAACATTTTTTCATTATGTTTGGGTTTTTCTGTGGGCTTTGAACTTTTGTTTTGGTTTTTGAGACAGGTTCACATTGGCCTAAAACTTGCTATGTACCCCAGCCTGAGCTTGAATTTGGGATTCTCCTGTCTCAACCTCCCAAGTGCTGGGATTACAGGAGTGTGCCATCATGCCTGACTGAACTATGCTTTGGTCTTCATTCACTTTTTTAGTTAGTACTTAGCAGTATCTAATCCTGACTAGTAAGGTCCTAGTAGATGATGCCTACAATTACTTTGATTATAGATTTTAATTTGAGTAGCAGGTTCACTTTCTTTACCAATTCAACTTAAAAAAATTGAATATGTACTCTTATTAAACTTTCAAAGCTAGAAGCAGACATTGTGGGGTGAGTTTTTAAAAGATATAGTTTATTACCGTGGAGTACTACTCTACAACTAGGAGGAGATTGAGTCATTTATAGGAAAATCTCTGCCTCCGAGACTATAATGTTAAGTGAAATAAATCAGGCACGTAAGCTTAAATAGTGCATCTTACATCAGAAACACAATGTATATGCATTTTGTAATATATATATATATATAGAACAACTAAAAGATATGCCAGGTGTTGTGGCATATACTTGTAATTCTAGCACTCAGAAGGCTGAGGTAGGAGGAAAGCTAGGAGTTCAAGGCTAGCCTGGGCTCCATAGTGAGTTCAAGACCAGCTTGAACTGCATAGCAAAACCCTATCTTAGAACAAAACAAAATAAAAATCGACAATAAGAAATAGTAAGATGGGTCTTTCGCATATGGGAAGGCAACCCAGATAGAGGGAAGGAGGTGAAAGGGGAGAGAAATGAGATAAACATTTTTAAAACGGGGAATTATAAAGTGTTGTGTACATGCACCAAGTCCCTATGAGGAACATAATCAATATGTAGTATAAATATGTATAAATACATATATATATTCACACACACATAGGCATACACATGCACACATACATGAAGGGGTCCAAAAGATTGAGAAAGAGGGAGGAAGAAGAGGCAAAGGGATTTAAAAAAAGAGATTAAGATGGGTTATGTTACATGTACCAGCTTTTTAAAGGAATGTAATCATTATGTACTACAAACATATACCAATAAGAAAAAGATGTAGTTTAAGAAAAAATTCACAAAATATACAAAGATTTTAAGAAACAATGAAACAAACCAGGTATAGTGGCACATCTAGCGTTTGCTTTAAAGGCATGTACTTATGTAAAATTCATAACTTTTTAGTGTATGGTGTTTGGAATCATTATATATTTTAAACAAGTTACAAATAGCTGTCAGTTTTTCCAAACCCTTATCACATATTACACCCAATATTCACAACTGAAAGTTCAACCTCATAATAATCAGCTTTTACACTATGAAGATATCCCTATTATATTAATTATCATTTGGATCTCACTAAATTAGTAAAGAGATTGGAGATGGCTTAAATTTCTTGAAAAGTATTTTTTGGGGGGAAGGGGAAGTAAACTAGTTTTATCTTTTTTGTGTGTGTGTGCACTTATGCCTCTGAGCTAAATCCCCAGCCCCCGTAAACTAGTTTTAATTTTTAGCATAGTTATTATGACCTCAGTTTTTCTCCCTTGTAGGAAACAAAGGCCTTGACATAGAATAGCTAAAAAAGCTAATTCTCAAACTTACTTTGCTTCCAAGGGTCAGTTGAAGTTTATTAGATATAACCTCTCAGTGTCTTCAGCTATAGATCGTTGTCTGTAACCTGTTGCTCAGTCATTTTTCAATTTCTTCATAGCTCTCAGAGCTTATTTCAAAAGAATAATGGATGAACCATCTTCCTTGGCCAAACCTCTGGAGCTGAACCAGCACTCAAGATTCATAATTGGTTCTGTGTCTGAAGATAATTCAGAAGATGAGATCAGCAATTTGGTGAAGTTGGACCTACTGGAGGAGAAGGAAGGCTCTTTGTCACCAGCTTCTGGCAGCTCAGATACACTCTCTGACTTGGGAATCTCTAGCTTACAGGATGGCCTGGCCTCACACATAAGGTGAGAGAGACATGTTTACTAGTTAACTTAATTGACTGGTCTTGTTCGTTTTTTGCTTGTGTTCCGAAAACACTAAGAATACTAGCCAAGATTGTGTTACCTCTTCCAACATCATTGGATGCATACCTTTAATGAGTAATTGGAAAATGATATATTTTGCAGGTTTTGCAATTTTCTCTTTCTGAGTGTTTTTGTCAACTTTTTCATGTCTTTCATACATAATAGATTTGTTAGTGAGATCTAGTGAATGAATTAGGCTAGGGAATTTCAATCTCTATTCTACTTTAACACCTAACTTTTTTTTTTGTGTGTGTGTTTTTCTTTGTATTGGTACCAGGGATCAAACTCATGACTGCCTGCTTGCAAGGAAGGCACTTATGCCGCTGAGCTAAATCCCCAGCCCAACACTTAACTTTTTTGAAGAGTGATAGGAATTCTGTGGAAGTGAGAAAATTTGTAGTAATTTTTCTTTAAACTGCTTCATCATGTCAGGAAGTTATATTCTGTTTCTAGTAGAGCCAGTCCTCAATAAAGAATTATAATGATATGAATAAGGGGCTCTTACAGAGCTCTCTCTCTCTTTTTTTTTTCTGTAGAAACAGAATCTCTATAATTGAGAATGTTAGTAAATAGTGACACTGGACTATTCTTACTTATTGGTGTTGGATTTTTTTCCAACAAGTGTATGAGCTACTAATCTTTAGTCATTTGCTTTGCAGTTCTTAGATTAAAGGGTCACTGTTCAACAGAATCCCTTGGGAGAGTGGTTAAGAAATAAGCTGGATCTCTAGAGTCTGATTTCACTGGGTATTTGCTTATCCTGGAACTGGGGCAGTATTTTACAAAGCTGTCTGAGTGATTTTAATGTATATCCAATGTTAAAATTATAGGTCAAGCCTAGTTAAACATAACTTAGGGTGGTTATTGCTACTCTTATTATGTTGGTACCTCGGTTATTAATGGGTCATAAAATAATTCAATTTTATTTTATATACTCAAGATACAGATATAGTAAAATCTAAGATTGGATCTAGCTGGGGTGACTCTTCTGCATTATTGCTATCCCCTGGGCGCTTAGAATCCTGGCTTCTAAAAGATGGAATTGTGTGTGTTAGCAATTATTGGTATTTATCTTTGAGGTCAAAAGAAAAGACATACAGCAAGTTATTGTTTTATTTCATGGGTTCCTAAAATTGCAGTGAATCCAGAGAGATAATTTAGCCTAATACTTTTTTCTTTTGGTGGTAGTGCCGAAGATTGAATTCAAGGCTTTCACATTGAGCTACATTCTCAACAATAAAATCCACCCTTCACTTTTTTTTTCTTTTGATGCATAGTCTTGTTAAGTTGCCCAGTCTGACATGATCATACAATCCTCTCACTTCATCTCTCAGAGTGCTGTGTTTATAGGTATGTGCCACTATCTCTAGCTACTTTTTGTTTTCATAGTTGATTAAACTAAGAACTGAAGAAGGGAAATAATTTAGCTAAGACTGAATGGCCAGGAAACTAGAATTCAAATTCAGATGCTTCCATTCCATTTCAGGAACTTTTCTATTCCATTTCCCTGACCATACAAGTATCTTAATTATATAAGTAGTTCATACAAATTTGATTTTATGGTATTAATGAAGAAAGTATTATATCTAACCTCGGGGTATAAAGGAATTAGTAACAAGGAAAAGGGGTTAGGTCTTGATGTAAATGTTTTTTACTTTATAATTCACTAAAAGTTGACCCTAAGGTTAATACTGGTAGTGGTATCTTCCCTACCAGGGTCATTTGGATCTGTGTGGGGTCGTGACTTGTGGGATTACTTGTATTCTGAGAACACAAGACAAGTGATACTAAACTTTGTATATTGTATGTACTATAGAATTCCATATGACCAAAAATTGTTATTCTCAAAATGTCATAGTTCCCTTATTGAGAAAGATTGGGTTTAACGCTCGATTCTTTGAAGCAGCACAGCTTCTTGAGAAATTTGTCTCACCAGTATAAAACTATGTGAAACATAATATTCATCTGTTGAATTAGGAAACTGTTTGGCAGTGGTGAGATAAAAGCCATTATAGGGAACTCAGCTAATGATACCACAAGGTAGTTTATAGTGCCAGATCATTCCTAAAGTTCATGCCTGTTATGCAGAGACATTGTGATTAGTCGCATGGTGCCAGAGTTTCTTGCATGTCTTACTGTTGGCAAAACTCAGGCTTATAGCTCGTGGAAGAGTCATGAACAGAAGTGTGATCAGCATCCTGGGAAAGGGACAATTGCCAGTTTCCACTAGCTTCTCAGCTAGCTAATGTTCCAAAATAGAACTGAGTTTCTTCCTTGGTCTATTTCTTAAATTACCTTCGATGTGGTATCCTTGGGAGTAATCTTAATTCTGTCAAATTTATTTGATAGTAGAAAGACTTGTGCTCTGGCATCTCCACTAATTAGGTATGTGATCACTGCGATTCATGTATTACTTTTTGATTCATTTTCCTCTCTGTAAAAATGAAGATACTGATTCAGGTATTCCTTTTTATTCTTCAAATGCAAAATGAAATAAAGACTAGTTGAGTTTAAGCCATCTCCTGGAATGAACAGCCTAATCTTTCATAGGTGACATAGATTAATGTGGCAGTGAAATTCCTCAGACATGTTAACTGAAGGTTTTTTTTTTTTTTTTTTTTTTTTTTTTGTCTTTTTGAGACAGGGTCTCTCTGTGCAGTTCAGGCTGGCCTTGAGCTCACTTTGTAGCCCAGGCTGGTCTCGAACTCAAAAAGATTTTCCTGCCTCAGCCCCCCGAGTGCTGGGATTACAGGTGTGAGCCACCATGCCTGGCTTAACCGAAGGTTTTTAATACGAAGCGATATTGAGACTGGATCTCTTAAGTTTTGGGCTTGATCTTAGATTCTAAATGAATGCCTTGTGTATGTCAATGAGTGGAATTATAAAATAGACTTTTCTAGGGAAGAAGGTGACTCATTATCATGTTTTTCCAGAGTTCAACACAACACTGGCTGAATCATTTCTTAAGCTGTATGACCCAAATATTTGAAGATAAGGCCTCAGAAAGTAGTTATAGCTTAGTGAGAATATATGGGCTTCAATGAAGACAGTTGTTTTGACTTAGTATTTTTGGATAAGATTGTTTAGGGGTTATTTATCAGGTGAGTTGGTATGTTTCTGAAATTCATTTTAATGCGCAGTTAAGCATTAAGAAAAAAGAGGATTAAAAGACTAGACATCTTAATTTTTATAACTGGTATACAATTTAGAGACATATCACGTAGACATTTATTTATGTAGGTATTGGCAGTTTCTCTGCTCCGTAAGGGATGCCACTTGAGGTCAGATTGTTCTGCATATTTAAAATATACTCTATGCTATCAATCCATGCTATCAAACAGGACTGTAACCAGTTTTGTCATCTAGTATATTGAATTTCTGGTTAAAGTCCAGTTGGAAACGGGTTATTCCACATTTGGATCTTTAAATCTTTAGGGTAATGTGATTGCTTTACTTTTTTTAAAAAAATCTATTACATCTTGTTAAAGAAGCTACCTTAGTTTTCTTATAAACATCTTAAAATGTATATATACTCAAAATATGGAATGGCCAACATTTTATGTTTAGCAAGCATGTTTCATGAAGGAATTTGAGAACAATCTGTCATTGTTGGTACTTACATGTACATAAATTCAGTATAAGATGTTCTATACCTCGGGTTTATAATAGTCACTACTTTGGAAGGAGGAGAAGGTGAATAGTCCTATCTGCTTTTTGGTCTAGAAATAAAGTACTTTGCCATTATCTTTGAAAATTGAGAATGTGGATAAGCAATTCCTTACAAAACAGTTGACTCCTGAAAAGAATCTAACTAGAGAACTTTGAAGCTCTTTGTAACTGGAAATGATTTGTAAAGTTCTTTCATGAAACCATAAAGGCAGTATACTAATGAGTTTGGAAACAGCTCCTGTGTAACATATTTCATTGCCAAGATTAAAAACTTGATATGGAACTATGTAGACCTTCCTCCATGGGCACTAATGGTGTTGGTATTAGTGTGAGACTCTGAAAGTGGCTTTTGGCTTCTGTTTCCAGTAGGTTAAGAGGGAAGTTAAAGGAAATAATCCCAGCGCTTGGGAGGCTGAGGCAGGAGGATTACCTGGAGGGAGTTTGAGGCCAGTTTGGGCTACATAAGAGTTGAAGGTGACCTGAACTGCATAGTGAGACTCTGTTTCAAAAAAACAATCAAAGGAAAATAAAAAGAAGGAAGTTGAGGAGACAGTATTGAGTGATAAGGCTTATATCTGTTGCTGGTAATACCTATCCTATTTTTCAACTTTTTTCCCCTATTTTTCACTGTTTTCTTTTTATTGCTAGGGATCAAATTCATAGCCTCACCCATGCTAGGCAAAACCCTCTTTTACTGATCTATACCCAGTCACTTATATCTTTAAAAATTAGTAGTCATGTTTTCTCTGTGACTAATTAGAAAAATAGTCGTAATGCTAGGTAATGTTTATCAAGTGCTTTATTCAGTGTCAGATATTCTGCTGTGCTTTTTAGATGGAGAACCACACTTAATCTTCATAACCCTGTGAGGCTGGTATTGTATTATTGCCCACAATTTATGGTTAGAGAGCTGAAAAATAGGTTAAATAACATCTCCAAGTCGCATAGGTAGTCAGTACTAAATCAGGTATTGAATCTAATCAGAGCTCATGTCAAATACTGTAGCAAACTGGAACCCTCAATATAATGGATATGCTGTGTTCTCTTTGAGCCGTGCTTTTTTAATTTAATGCCAACCTTTTGTATGTATGTATGTATGCATGCATGTGATCCTGGGGACCAAATCCAGAGTCTTTCCACTGAGCTACATCCTCAGCCCTTTTATGTTTTATTTTTAAGACAGTGTCTTGCCAAATTGCCAACGAGGAACTTGAATTTGTGAACTTCCTGCTTTAGCCCCCTGGAGTGCTGCATTACAAAAGTATGCACCA